ATTGGTGACTTTCTGTGTGGCACCTGCAGTAAACCTGTTAATGACAAATCCCAGCTCACTTCTGAATCTCACACAGTACAATTCCCATTCATACTGCTGGTCAAATGGTTGGGAAATGGATGAATCATAAACATTTCCCCTTTTTTGGACCCCAAAAGACCCTAAAAATAGTATTCAAAGCACCATCTCTCAAGCTGGATCCTGTTATTTTGCAAGCCATTCCCAATTTTTGCTTATTAAAGCACCTTTCTGAAAGAGTCAGCAGGAAGAGAACAGTGAGTTGCAGAGTGTGAATGTCAAGACAGGAGCAGGTAGCTGATTTCCTCCTACAAAAACACATGGACAGAGCAGGCACCCACTTCATGTCTCTAACCCAGCCCTGTCATAAGAAGGAACATGGCCCGAAGCCCAGTAACTTTGCCAATAAGTGGGCAGGATGGGGGATGGCTCAGCCAGAAGCAGTGGGAGTTGATCAAAATGTGCTGTGACAAGAGAACATAATGAATGGAACCTCAGACAGTCCTGAAAAGAGCAAAAGCCATCAAGATACACCTGATATATATATATACTTTTTTTTTTTTTTTTTTCTGGTAATACAAACCAGGCAGGTCCTCAGGTCCTTGGGAAGTACTGTGTCCTAACAGACAAGTGCACTGTCCCAGCCTTATAACATAGAGGGCAGCTCAATCATGCCTTTCCCACAGTAGTCAAGGTAGATGAATTTCTGCATGTGACAGCACATGGACAGCTGAAGCCTCTCCATCACGTCTGGCCATCTTTGGTTTCCAAAACTAATTTACAGCTGAGTTGACTGGGTATGAACTCATGCCACTGGAGCCCAAGAAAGGTGATATAACTAAAATCAATCACCTTCTTGAAGCATCAGAGACAGGCTGTTATTCCATCACTGCAGAGGGCCATAGCTCTGGGAGCCCCAGCTGTGACCTTTACCCACACACCCATTGCCCATGGACCTGCTTATAAGGTCAGGCTCTTCTTGGTTCTGGGCTGACTGTCTTTTGTTGCTTTATGTTTTGCTGGTGGCTGCTGGGCCATTTGCTGGCCCTGCCCTTTCTGCTCCTCACCTTTCTAACTGCTTCAGAAACCTGTTCTCAGGTTAAGCTTCAGGTGGCCTATTATAGTTGGTGCCTCAGAGATCCTGGTTGCTCAGTGTTAATTGTTTCCAATCAAAAAAGAAATACTGTTGTCCTTAAGGCACTGTTTCTTCATGGAATCATTAAGGTCAAAAAAGACCTCTATGATCCCCAAGTCCAACCCCAACCATCCCACCATGCCCTCTAAACCACATCCCTCAGTGCCACATCTCCATGGTTCTTGAACACCTCCTGGGATGGTGACTCCTCCACCTCCCTGGGCAATGACTAAACGCTTTCTGAGTTTTCCTAATATCCAGCCTGAACCTCTCTTAATTGTGATCTTAAAGAGCTCTGCTAAAATGTCATGCAATTGTGATGAGCAGCAGGATTTCATTTGATAACTGAGATGAAACCAAAATGCTTTGCAGTAAGAAGGTCTTGACTAATGTGGGAAAGCTAAAAGCTGCTCTCAGCTGCTTGAGGATGCATTATGGTTTGAAAAAGGAGCCAAGTATAGAGCTACCTACGGTTTGATCTTTGGGTGGTCCTGTGTGGAGTCAGGAGCTGAACTCAGTTATCCTTATGGGTCTCTTCCAACTGTGGAAATACTCTGATTCTATGATTCAACCAAAGCATGTATTAAAAACTTTCAAAACTGTTCTCACCATGCAGTTTCAAGCAGGGCTGTTAACCAGGGAAGCTCAGGTGCTATGGGTTTCCATGTAAGTGGCTGCCAGCAGTTGGGAATAAGGTGTTTAAGTGTTGCTAGTAAGAAATAATGGTCAAAGTAAGAAAAAGAGGCAGCAGATATGGGAGACGTGTGAGACCAACAGCTGTGTGCAAAGAATTATCCTTACTTGAAGGTCTGGATAATTGGCTGCCTGGGTGGGGTAGGATGTTCTTACAGCTCCCCTGGGAGCAAACCTAAGTCATTGTGAATAAGAGGTAGACAAGGCATCTTGAATTTCTAAGCAGTAGATTAATCTATTCTTCAGCACATTCTTCTGTTGAATATATCCCTTCTATAGTTATAGAAAGGCTTGATGCCTAAAATAAGGAAAATTTGGTAATACACCCAAAAATCTGCTTGGGAAGCAATTGTAGAGAGATGTAGATGTACGTGAACTTCAGTCTCTTTAGTTTAAAACCTAATGCAAGGGCTGAAGCATTGGACATGATTCCTCCTAGGCAATGACATTTCTAGGAAGTACCTGTGTAAAGTTCATTCATCAGTGGGTTTACAGCTCTTCTGTGGGGGGGAGTGATAAGAATTCCAAGAGAGATTTGCAGACCAAAGGATCAGATTTCCACCACTGTGGGCCAGGGGGGACTAGGGCTCAATAAGAAAAGGTGTCATTTAAAAAGGTTACTGGTCACAAAGGACCTCACTGTTCTTGCTGGTTCTCAGACTAAACTTTTATTTAGGCTTAAACATGTTGGAGGATTCCTACATCTGAACCAGCATTTCAATCAGTCTAAACCATGATGGAAAAAACCTGACCTTGTGCTAAGAAAATCATTTGTCTAGAGAGGAGCTGAGACTCAATTAGGGGAATACAAGGACTGCAATTAGAGTTAGAACTTTTCTAGGTAAGTTTCATTAAATGATTTGTGAGGATAGGCTGAGTTCTAGGAAGGTGCTACAGGAAAGCTTTGTGACCAGGAACAGATCCAGTGGTCAGCTGAAAAGAGGGAGAGAAAGCAGACGAAGAACTGAAAACCTGTCTTCTTCCAGGGGAAACGGGCTGTTGTGACAGCCGTTCAATTTAGAGACACTTTGTGAAAGCTGAGTTTGCATGCCAGTGCCCTAACCTCATTTATTTCCATGCAACAAGATTATTGTTTGTTGGCTTGTTCCACAGCCGTCGAAGCCAAGTGAGGAGGTGTATGGAACATAATGCTCATTCCCATGGAGGGATCCAAGAAGGTAAGACATTACTCACATAGATTGCAACTGGCAATTTTACACACTGATTTCAATTAAGATATTGTCATGTGGCAGGAATACTCAAATTGTTTCTCCATTTATTTTCGGCAATATCTGCTGATCTGGATGTCACACCTTTATCCCACTCTCCATCTCCTTTTATTACTCTTGCCTTCCCTGTACCTAAACCCCAAACATTTCCACCCCTGCTCATTATGTACTTCAGTGAGCCAGGTGCTTCTAGCTGCACCTTGGTTCCCAGCTGGCAAGACTGATAAGAAACGAGGGGATCTTGACGATGCTGGTCAGGGTGGAGCAGCCTGGTCCAGGATGCTTTCTTGTTTACTTTTGCACCCCTTGTCAGTTTAACAGCTCCTTGTCTCTAACAAATCAACAAGTCATTTTGAAAGTCTTTAAAAACAACATTGCAACTCCACAAAGACAGGGAAGCTAACAACCTGAAGAAAGTTGCTTTATAAGGGATCAAAGAAAGATGCAAAGCTGCTCTTCAATCAAGCAAATTTCCTAATCCAAAGCAAATTAACAACAGCACCGTGTGTGCAGCCGCACAGCAGATGAAAAGTAGTGTGTTTGATGTGTTCTCTTAAACCCTTTTTGGGTATGTTTCAGGCATCTTGGCAACCAGCATTCCAACGTGCTGACACCCTGGGCAGCAGAGCCAGCCTTTCCAGGGCTCCCTTTATGCAACTCCTACAGCTCACACTCCAACTCCTGCTCCATCACCTCTACCTATTGACCAATGAGAGTGAATCTGTACTTTTTTTTTCTGTGTTGACATTTGTGATGTTTTTTTTGGGAAACAACCAGGTGTTCCAGGTTAATCCAGGAGGCGTTAATTGAAAAAGAACCAACGTCTTTTGTAAGGTGTAAGAAAAGAAAATAATCTCCCAAACCTTTTAGTGCTTAGGTAAGCATCGTTTTTTCCTTTTCATTGTACTCAGTGTAGCACTACTAGCTAGAATTTCCACGCAGTCTGCAGTCTCACTTTATTTTTCCTATACAGCCTCAAGACTGCAAGAAAAGCTGCTGAAATTGGACAAGGCAGATGGAAGGTTCCTTGTTCCCAAAGCCAGCATTCAGTACAGCTCTCGCTTTGCAAACTTTATGTGACGTGCCACGCTCAGATGCAGTCATAAAATTAGCATTCTGGTTCTGAAACTACATCAAAGGTGACTGAGCAAAGTTTAATTAAGGTTCTGATTACTTTATATTTCATGATAGCGAAGCAGAACACATCCCTCCCCTTTAGAGTTATGGCTGGGGAATAAATATTTGTATTCAGCATGGTGGGTGAGATGGCAGCTGGTGTTTGGCCAGTGTGCCCAGTGGGTTTCCACGTAGGATGCAAACCAGAGAAGTGTAAAATTAGTTTGGAGGATCCTCGCGGCTGTGCTGTGGCTGGGTGGGTGATAAATTAAAAATACATTCATTTGGAATATGGTATTTCATAGCACGACACCTTCTATTAGGGAGCTGATTATTTCTCATAGCGGGGAATTAATGGGTTCTGAGCACTTAGAGAGTTTTGTCCCAAAACAGTAAACTGCGCTTAGACCATGAATACTTTTACGTGTTGACCTTTTATAAATTTATATCACCTGCAGAACTGGCTGCAAACTTGAATATAAACACATACACCTAAAATACCATTCCCAAAGCAGAACTGATCAGGAATAAGTCCTTGTTCTGAAAGGGCATTTTCTATGTGGAAAAAGACTGTCAAAATCAGTTTCATTCTTTTCAGCATTTTAGCTTCCCTTTGAACCAGACCTGCTTGGTGAGGTTTGAGACTTTCATTTTTCACGTTCAGTTTTGATGCGTGTTTTGATTTTTGACAGCTTTCCAACAGAAAACAGTTCCCTCAGTGCTCTTCTGATCGGCTCTATTGAACACAGGCAAACACACGGCTCTCCCCTGGGGGAAGGGACTGTAGAAGGGGTTTATGCATTACTTACCGAGAGGCATGACTACAAAAAATGGAAGCCAGCACAGAACAAAACATCCCACTACAATTCCCAGGGTCTTGGCTGCTTTCTTTTCCCTGGAGAACTTGAGGAGACGCACTGAGAAGTGATGCTTGCTCTTAGAGCTGGCCGTGGCCCCGCTCGTTTCGGGAGCGTTTTTGCGGTGGATCCGGAGGGTCACTGCTTCGGAACGAGATTTCTCCATCTTCAGCCCTGACCTCAAACCTTTGTTTTCCCTTTTGGCCACGACATACACTCGGCAGTACATCACCAGGATGATGGTCAGGGGGAGGTAGAAGGAGCCCAGCGCGGAGAACAGCACGTAGCCGGGCTCTTCGGTGATCTGGCAGATGGTGTCATCTTCGGGTGCTGGTTCCTTCCATCCAAAAAGAGGTCCAATGGAGATGACCAGAGACAACGCCCACACACACAGGAGAGCCAGGAGGCCTCTCTTCTCCGTCACTATGCTGGGGTAACGCAGTGGGTAGCTCACCCCGATGTATCTGTCTATCGAGATGATGCAGAGGCTCATAATGGAAGCAGTGCAGCAAAGGACATCAACAGCTGCCCAGATGTTGCAGAAGATCCTCCCAAAGACCCAGTAGCCCAAAATCTCCATAGTAGCAGAGAAGGGCAGGACAGTGGATGTCAAGAGGAGGTCGGCTACAGCCAGATTAATTATATAGTAGTGGGTGACACTCTGAAGATGCCTGTGGCAGGCTACAGAGAGGATAACCAAAATGTTACCCAAAACTCCAAAAATGATCAGCCCCCCTAGAATAACACCCAGCAAAATGGCCTTGGAAATGTTCACGGGCCCTGCAGAGTGGGTGCAGTTGGAACAGTCGGATGAGTTCCCAGAGAGGAAAACCATGGTGAGTGACTGGCAATGGCTGCTGTCCTTCACACCCTTTTCAGGTAGAAAAAGTGATGGGATCAGTCCTCAGAATGTCCTACAGGCAACATTGCCTGGCTTTGCTGGGTGGAAGAGTTTTTAAGAAAGTTTCAGAAATGCAGCACCAGGAGCAATGAGAAGGATCCAAAAACATAATAGAAAGCCTACTTTTCTCCCCAAATATTTACCATTCTAGCACAGCTAAAAGCCACCGTTTCCAAGTCAGATTTAACCCCTTTTGCATTGTTCCTGGGTTGCAGAAGTGAGGCTACATAAAGCTGAGGCTGCTTTTCCCGCTTTCCAGGATAATGTGATGAGAAGTATTGGAATCAAAGGTGCAAGTCATTTCTGTCTCCTTGGGAAGAATGAATATTTAAGTAGCAAAAAACATTCCATAGGGTCTCAAATCCAGGTTTCTCCAAAGAGGAATAGTCACTCGTGCTTTAAGTTACCTTCTGCTAGCCTTGATTCTGTCTTACAAAAAAGGTTTGGCAGAAGCCTGGACAGGTGGAGGCTGTTGCAATGTCACTTGAGATGTGTGCCACCACTGCTCTGTAGGGTCTGAGGGTCGATCAGAGCCTCTGCGTGTGAAGCAGCTGGCAGCTGAGCTCCCTGACGTTGGTTTTCATCCACTTCTGGCTCTGAAGGAGAGTGAAGTTTGCCACGTTGTTGATGCAGGCTGCTGTGCTCCTTTCAGATGATCAACTCCTGGAAGAGACAAAGGCACAATGCGATTCCCAGAAGCAGTGTTTGCTCACTGCTATGGTTCCCATATAAGAATAGAGTGGGGAGCTATTTTAGGGAGCCTTTCTCGTGCTGGCTGCAGCTGGTGGAACCAACCTTTTTCGGCCCAGCATTGTTTAACAACTATGAGAACAACGCAAATTTTGTTGCCTGGATTTTTCTTACTGTGTTGTCAGCAGCGGTCCACTTTCCTTTAGGGATAGCAATCCATCCCAATCATCAGCTCACCTGCAGAGAGCAACTCTGGGAGAGAGAAGCCTGCAGGACACAATTTGGGACTACAAACTGTGAGGCAGATTTGTAAGTCTGGAATTTAATTTGAGATTTCTTTATTAAGTGGCTCCGTTTACACACTGAACTACTCGTTAGTCCAGCTAACAGCCAGTTTTGGAAATCTATAGGGAAAAGCAATTTCTGCCAAGTAGAAGATGTTGCAAGGAACAAGTTTCCTACTGAGAAAGACAACATTTCATGTCTCAGGAAGACAAACTCAGCCTTGGCTGACTAAATATGGAGAAAAGGTACATCAGATGGGGAAGTGAGGATAAGCTGGCAACTTAGACTCGAGTCTACAAAGGGAAACTGCATATGTCAGCTGAAAGCCATTCCCAACACTACATGTAGGTACAACGTTCCCATCCAAAGTATTGATGGGACATCTGAAAAACCACCACCAATAATGCTCCAGTTAAATCCAAGGTAAGACTGAGTGTTGTAGCGTAGGTCTTTGGATGAGTCCCTCACATCACACCTTCTGCAAACACTGAACAGCAGGAAATGTCATGTAGCTTGGTCTCAAAACAACATTTTCTTTTGGGCAAAGAGATCTGGCACAACTCTTACCCCGAAACCTCTGGAATACCCAGTTTGTAACAGGGAGAATGGGGGAGGGAAGTGGAGAGGTTCCACTGTGGGAATTTGCCCTCTCTGCAGTGAAACAAAATTCAGTCTTTGTATTTTCCTTTCCCAGAGAGGGAATGAGTTGAAGGATAATTCCAAGAAAGGAGATCATAGAATGAAATAATGACTTAGGTTGGAGGGTTCCAACCCCCAAATGACAGACTTTAATAAGCACATCAATGAAAATAGGCTGTGGCACTGAGCATCCGTAATCACTGTAACTGCAGTCATTATAGTGGTGCTGGTGGACAAGGAAATTAAGCAATCGTCAAACTTGATTTTTAAGCACCTGGAACTAAACTTCAAGGTAAGTCAAGGAGATGCAGCAAAAATGCCTGATGGATACTCATGCTCCAAAGCAACCAGGTGATATTCTGCTTGTGGGGAGAGAAGATGCAGAGGAAGAGCACACCCTCACCCCTTGTGCCCCCCAGCACACACTCACCTCAGTCTGTAGCAGACGGCACGGCTCTGAGCATCTGGAAGAGGATGGGCAGCCCCACAGCACAGCAGCCTCCTCTCTTCATGCAGAGGTGGGACTCTCTGCCTGCACACCCCCTGCTCCTTTCCTTACCCACCAGCATTGTGATGACTCACACTGGTTCCCAGTATCCCAGTGCCCGGGGGGGGCTCAGCTCCAGCATCCCTGGGAGCACAGCACCACTCACAGCACTCAGCTTCACGCTGCCAAGGAGCAGCAGGAACTTTGCTGCTCTGCTGCTGGAGCAGGCAGTATCCTTGCGTTACCGTAATCCCTTGCCGTTCCCGTATTGCTCAGAAAGAAAGAGCACTTATCTGATGCCAAGTGGTGTGTTCAATGTTTGTTTTTGTTTTTTTTTTCCTTCCCTATGCCAGTTCCTGCAGAGATCAGAAAGTGGAAGCCAGCTAGCAAGATGCTGTTTGCAGGCTAGAGAGCAATTCTCGTGGTACAGGCTAACAAGTAATTTTTGTGGTGATGTGTGAACAGAGAATTGCCTGCCAGACAAATGGAGCATGAAGGAAAGAACAGGAGCAGCGTGGCTATTGCTGCCTGTTATCTGCACACTGGGATGGAGCACTGGGTATGCAGCACGGTGACTGGCACCGGGGGCTTTCCTTCTTGGGCAGGGAAATCCTGGATGTGTGCACTGCAAATTCCTGCTGCTTCCTCCAGCTTGTCTTCAAGGAGGCAGAGAGCCCCTGAGGCAATTTGAAATAGGAACATGATACCTGGACTTAAGGGGATGTTTGGGGAAGCAAAGCATGAGGTCACTTGAACAGAATGTGCTTTGGTGGTGAGGTTCATTTTCATATGGTTCTCTTTCAAATGCGTTTTTTAAAAAAAATTGCCCTGAGTCACTGATGATGAACAGATGAATATTCAACTGGCGTCCTGAAGGGAAAGGAAGGGAGCAGAGGATTTTATGGCCGAGAGAGAGCAATCCCACAGCCCCAGGGGAGCAGATGGGCCACATGCTCGTTTCTCCATGACGGGTTCTCCACCTCCTCAGCCTGGGCAGGAAGGTCCCTCGAGAGGGAGGCCTGGATTCATGTGTTTCCTGAAGGTAAATCCTAAAGCAATGCTCAGATTCCCCCATAAGAGCTGGGGCTGTTTGTAAGTGATCACTATTCCAGCAGCTTTGGGCTCAGATTTCTTCTTGGGCAGCCATTGCTGCTCGAGGGAAAAATGTAGTAGCAGCTGACATGAGTGTATGATTTGTGTGGATGAGTTTGGAAAAGTGTGGTCATCCTTATCTTGTGACAGCTTCAGCCACTGCATCATTTGTAGTTTCCATTTTAGAGCAAAAGTTCCCATGAGTGGAAATAAGAAGGGGGATGAGGGAAGGAAGAGGTTTGAGAATTCCAACCTCTAGAGCCCTGCAAACTGTGACATGAAGAGATGTGTAAATGCTCCCTTTGCAGTCCTCTTGGCACTTGTGCCCCTTGCTCTCCAAACTTGCTTTGAAGGACACTCAGAAGCCCTGAGCTGATACAGACAGTACTATCACCCTGCGTCATGGTCCTCATTTCCCTGAGTAACAAAGGATGTTAAGAGACTGACGTCTAAATGAATAAAGGAAAGCCTGAGTTACTAAAAATTCTAAAAGGCTGTTCTAGGTACCTGCCTCTGGATGAGGCAATTTTTGTGCCCTATTTCACTCAATCAATGGGAAACAGAGCCCCAGGAGGTGGAACAGATGGACCATGCCCAAGGTCTTCCTTCTACTGGTCCATATGACCTCTTAATAGTGGTGGCTTGCTCCAAGTTTTTAAATGCACTATGGAAATAAATTTACATTCATAGCTCTAGTTAATAGCCCTGTATTATGGCATACCAGTTCCCTGTGAGTAATACCCTTGCTGGAGGACGTCTTTCTGGAATGGAGGGAAGCAGAAGTAAGTTCCAGACAGCAGTTTATTCCCGAAAATCCCCAGAGAAGAATTAATGCATTGCAGTGAAGAACTCATACATCCAGAGAGCACAAATAGTCCAATGTCAGAAAGTTCACCAAACAAAGGATGGTCCGTGTGTGCCATCAGATGAAGATGGATGGGGCAGGATGACCGGTACAGCTGAGATTGATGGAACAGTCTTTGCACTTAGCTCTGCCAAGATGTGATGGAGTTGCACAAGTCCACTTCAGAAGTTTTGTATTGATCACGATTGAGGATAAAGCAGCAGGAATGTTGGAAGTCAAGAAATGCGACCTGTGATGCTGGAAGAAGAGGAGCTCTTCTCTGCTGTGCTGTTGGCTTTGGCGTGGTTGGAGTTGGTTGTCTTTCAGAAAGTGGTGAAGATTTACTGCTAACCCCCCAGGGTTCAGTTGGGTTTTGCTTATGCTTGGATAAGATAGAAAGCCCACCCAAAGGCAAGTGATGCTCAGTGTTGTGCAGAAAACCTCAGCTGGAGGGAAGAGGACCCATTCCTCTGTCTTTTGAGATTAGGAGAGCCTGGAGCCTGTAGAACAGCTGAGCTGAAGATAAATTGGGCTGAAAACTTTCAAACAAGACAGGTTTGTGTGTTTATTTAAAAGTCATTTAATAATGAGATGTCCAAGTATTACAGATGTCTAAAATTTTCCATCTTGGGATTCATGGGGACTTTCACCGTGTTCCTGACTCACTTAAGCATGGGCAGATTGCCAGGCAGATAGGAGCCATGCATTTATGTAAAGCAAGGCAGCTTCATTAAAGCCAGCAGTGCTTTTTTACTTTGCAGTGGGTGAAGATTTGGGGCCCTGGTTTTTGTGTATGGCCGTGGTTCTGAAGGCTGCCTAATCAATAGAGACATTGTTAGAGGTTTATTTCCATGTAACTCATGAGGAGCGCCTTGACATATTGCTTGGGTGATACGA